ACTTAAGTGGGTCTTATTTTCAGGGGATGTCTTACTTTTGGGGAAAATTATATAGACCTATAGTCCTGGCAGTTTGATATTGGGGGGATACCAAGATTCAGTATTTGAGAGATTGCTGTGGTCAGAGTTCACAGTATAGGCTCAGACAAACTATAGAAGGGAAGTAAAATTGTAGGCATGTGTGTTTTCAGGGATTAAGCCTACTGCCCTAGAGTCAGTTCTAACTTGATCCTGTATGGGGTTTCTGAGGCTGTTAATCAGACAGCCTCCTCTTCATTCCTCCCTCCCAAGATTTAATCTTGGAAACACCGAAAGAAAGCAACTGATGTATACTTTTAGCATTAGGGAGAAATAATACGAAACATTAATTGTGAATCATTCCTGGAAGTTAAAGATTTGTTAAGGTCTGTGTTAAATAGCTAAATAAGCATGTAGCATTAAGAAAGTATAGCTTGATGGATTTTGTAATTTCTAGAAACATTTGGTGTGAGCAAATGACTTCATCCTTTATTGCTTAGGTAGCAAGCTTTGTGTCTGGTTTAAACATTTTTGTTTCAGACATCTAGAAGATCTCAGGTTGACTGTCCCTACCACAAGCACATAGGGCATTTCCAAATACCATTGAATCTCGATGTGAATAGTCAATACAGTAAATGAATGTATTTCAGAAATACTATCTATATAATGGGTAATGTTTGTGCATCTGGAGATGGGAAATAAGATCTTATGATAATTCCCTAGTGTGATCGGATTAGATTCATTTGTAAGTGGTTGAATTGGGCTATGACAACTCGCTCAAAGATTGCCCCATTGACAACACTAGAGAGTCCTAAAAATTGCCAAATTGTGTCATTGCTTACCCAGTTGTATGATGAAACTGGATAATTTCACTGTTCATGTGAAGAGCTTTCTCAGAATTCTTAAATTTTGAGTCCAATAACTCATTTCCATACACCAGCAAAACATTTTATGGTCATCGTGATCTTAATGTTAAAACTGCTAACAAGTATGGTTCCTGGTATCTTTCAACCATTACTTTTTTGTTCACCCTATATCTGCCTGGTTTGTTAGGTGTTCTTAAGCTTAACGTTAATCAAAGGCCTGGGGGTTGAACATGCTTATCTTTCAGTAACATGGTTTGTAACCATTGTGCCACCAGAACTAACTAGGTATTAGAGTACTTGGGACCCAACCTTCAGCTTTAGTAGGTCCACCTAACGCACAAGACATTGGAATATAGCAAAGAAATACGGTCCTTGGCGCTCATAACATCAATCTTACCTAGGGGACATAACTCGAGAGCAGAGCTGAACCTCGGAGCAAGAAATTTGTTCAACCTGGTGTACACACACCCCTCCAGGTGAGTCAGCTTTAGAGAGAACAACTAGGTTGTGATTCCATTGACCCTACTGGATTAATGACCCAATGAAGGAAGCAGTCTGTATTAGGAAGAATAAAGATATACAGCTATAAACAACGTTGGTTAAAGTTACTCACCTAGACACTTTCCCCACCCTGTACACTTCAGCAGGCAGTATTTTCATCAACCTTCTGCCCTTTGATTTATACCTTATGAAAATGGCAGCATCCCCAGGGGCCTTTTCTTTTCAATGTTCTTTGAAGTGTTGGGTGAATGGAGTAAGGCTTCTCAGTTCTCCAAGGACAGGCTTTGCTACCCTGGAAGAATGAGCAGGTGCAGGGATAGGTATGACTTGGTGAAACTACTCGACAATGCAGTTTGCCGTTTTCTTAAAATAAGTCCCTATGATTTCCCTCTGTACTTGGAGATCTCCCAAAGTGGCGCATGTGGGGTGGCCATAACTCGGTGGTCATAACAGCTGATGCCTCCATGTTGAATTTAACTGGCCCAGTTGATCTTGGAACTCGCTGTATGAGTAAGAACTGACATGACAGAAAAAGACTAAGGGAGCTTGGGTGGTTTAGTAGTTGGGCTGCCAACCTCAAGGTCCACAGTTTGAAACCAGCCTCTGAGGGAGAAACGAGGCTTTCTGCTTCTGTAAACCGTTTCAGAAACCCACAGGGCAGTTCAGTTCTACCCTGCCCTATAGGTTCACTGAGTCAGAATTGACTCCGTCTAATGCTGGATTACTCATTGGCCTGCTAACTAAAGTCTGCACAGGGTCACTGCGTGGACTGGGGTGGTTTTGGTTAATCGGGTTAAAAAGTTCATTGCAGAGAGAACTTGTCTGTAGTCATCCTTTGATCACAGAGATGTTTACGAAGACTTTGGAACTTAAGCCCTAGTAGCAGTACTGTCTTAATTTACCCATATATAATACTACCTTCGTATACTACCCTCCTATTGCTATTAAACTGAGAAACAAAGTTTACTTAATTACATTCACATAGCCTTGTATAACTTGGTGGTGATTGATTTGAATAGTGTACATTTAGGTGATTCTTGATTTAGTCACTGAAAATCCACCGGCATTAGGTGATGGGAGGGACTCAGGTGGTATAGTGGGTTAAACATTGGACCGTTGATCAGAATAGTGGTGGTTCAATGCACCCGCCCAGCTGCTCTGGGACGAAAAGGAGCCAGGCTGTTTCCTTAGCTTTATAGCCTCAGGAACCCAGTGGAACCAGGTCTCTGCCCTATGGAGTCACTATGGGGTTGGAGTCAACTTGGCAAGTAGTGGGTATGGGGTTGAAGATGATAATGGGCTGTCCTTCCAAAGATAGGAAACTACACGTGTTAAAAATTTGGCCTTACTGGAATTTAATATATGGGTTTTAAAAGGTAATAGAAGAAAACAGCATTTGAAGGACAGTCATAACAAGCCACATTTTTTTTTAAAATAAAAGGAATAGACAATTTACTTTTCAATATTAGTGACTGCTAAGCACAAAAAGAGCATCCTAGCACCAATTAGGGAACTGCAACTTGGATCAATGAAGTTTCATTATATACAAATTTTGGCCAGGATACTGGTAAATTAACAAATTAGCAACGGTGCTTTTAGAAGGCAGGACCTCATTTGGACTCTTATGAAAGTACTGAGTGATACATACAAGAAGCCCTGGTAGTGCTGTAAGCATTGGACCCCTACCCACAAGGTCAACAGTTCCCTGAGAGAAAAATGAGGCTAACTAACTGGACCAAGATTTACGGTCTTGGAACGATATAGGATTGTTTTATGAGTCCTAGTATACAAAAGGATGTTGCAAGTTTTTCTTTTCCCCACTCGACATTGCATGTAATAGCCATTTGAAACAGTGACTTCTGAGAAAGGAGTTTAAAAAGAAAGTACTACATAGTCATGGCACAGTTTGCAGTCATAATACCAAGGAAAAAAATCCCTGGAGGTAAATGTACTGAAAGTTCACCAGAATGTTTTATTTAAAACATGCAGAAAAACAAGTGCTTTACTATCAATTTTTAAAATTTGGAATTTTACATTATGTGCATATGAAATGGGTAGAAATTGAATGGTATGTATGCAAAACAAGTTTTTCAGTGGTTATTTCTGGGAAAGGAGTGAATTTTGGGGGAAAGTGATGACTTCTAGTCCTTCATGCTTAGAGTTATTGTATAATTTTTTTTTAATTGTGTACTTTTTTTAAAGGACAAAAGCACCCTAAAGTTGTCTAAGAGAATGAGTTCAGAGGTAGGACATCTCTGGATAACACTGGAAAATGGCTGTGGGAACTAGCTGCTGACATGAAATGTGAAACTGATTGGCATTGAAGAGATTAAAGAATTCTGAAACTAATTAATAATCATGAAATTTTAAATTGTACAGGATGATTGTTAAGAAATGTAGATATCATTAACCTTTAAAAAATTGTTTTATTAACCTTTCTGATTAGTTTCACAATAGATGCTCTGCACCGAGAGGCCGGCCCAAATCCCAACTACTACGTGGACAC